TTTTTTTTTTAAATTTAGGACTTCACTAATAATATTATATATATTTATTTAATATCATATCATATTTTTTTTTAATATCACATTATAATTGTAAATTTAAAATCTTATCAAACATTATAATCATAACATTATTGAAGTATATAGAAGGTTAGTGCCATGGATGCCCGATCTTACCCTTTTGCAATGCCCTTTTCAAGTGGGTTTATGTTGTCTTTTCGTACAAATATCTAGGGCTCCTCATATTTAATCCAAACTAATTCATTTAATCAAAATTGACACAATTTGATTAAAATTTAATCTAAATTGATATTAATTTAGATTAGTTTGAATTATAAAATTTTAAAATCAATACAAATGATTTAGATTGTGATTTTACTTTTAAACTAATCAAATTATTTGATTAGAAAATAACTTAATTAAATAATTAATTAACTAATATAATATTTTTATTTTTGTAGTTTTTGGTAAATATATTTTTAGATTTTTTTAGTAAAGTAAAAATATAATATATTTTTAAAATTTTTATTTTTGTATACATATTGTATTATTTTAATTTTCCTTTCTTGTTTCACTTTTCTTATTTCCTTAGTGTAATATTTTTTAATGGATGTGTTAAGGAGAAGGGGGAATGATAATTGGTGCTGGAATTTTAGATGGAAGAGAAATTTGCGTGTGAGGAAGAAGAGTGAGCGGACAGTAGAGTATGGAAGCTCGATAGCAATGGTTTATATACATCCAGGAAAGCGTATTGTTTAATGAATACAGGTCAAAGGATTTTGGATGCAGGTTCATGCAGGCAATATGGAATAAACTTCTGCCAGGAAAGGTGTGTTTCTTCACATAGAGAATGTTCCTAGAAAGATTACCAATAAAGAATAATTGGGCAAGAAGAGGAACTCTGGTGGAGGGCGCAAGCTTATGATGTCCAATAGAGGATGAGTATTTGGCTCATCTCATGATAAACTGTAGATGGAAGCAACAGATTTGGAAGAAATTATTCGTATGATAGGTGATTCAATGCACACTATCTGGTTCAATTTACGATGCATTTAGACAACTTTATCAGTTATGGCAAAATGGAAAGCTTAAGGAGATCTGGTCTTTCCTGTTTATATCCATTGCTTGGCATTTGTGGCGAAATAGAAATAGAAAGGTTTTTGATTCTGTCGAAATTTCCGATGGTAGAATGGTGGAAATAATTCAAATTAAAACAGTTTTATAGATAAACGATAAGTTAAAGGTATGGGAGTTTTTTTATATAAAAATGATTTTGAGACAATTTTTTTGTATTATTTTTTAGGATAATTTTTTTTATCACCATTTACAATAATTTAATGTGTCATTTAAATGATTGATTCTTTTAATTCATATGAAACCCGTGATATTAAATACATCTACTCATTTAATAATATATGAAAGTTGCATTAAAAAATAGTATAAAAATATTATTCCTATAGCACCTATCTTTTTTATATGATTGGAATTATAATTCTAGTATATCTACAATATCAGTAGACTTTATAGTTGATGTTTGTTGGTTTTTCTAAACTAGATTTGTAAAATATGGGCAAAATTATCTCTTGTATTTCAAATCAATAAATAATCTTAATTTAGTCAATAAAAAAATATAATACTAATTATATGGACTATTATTATTTTATTCTATTTTTGTTCTATAATTGTATAACATAATTAACTGAATTAAAGTAGTATAACTCTAAATTATCCCTTTATATAAACGAAAGTTGTACTCTAAAATCTCTCTACTTTCTTGAAGGATAGCAGCGTAAACTTACATAATTTGATTGCCTTATTAATTCTTTCTTTTTTAATCGTCTTCTTAATTCTTATTTCAATTAAATAGTTAGTACTATCATTTTGTTGTCTATAATGTTGTTGTCCTTTATAATTATATTTTTTTATAATTTGATACTTTGATTTTTTTTATTTAATCAATATATTTAAAACAATATTAAAACCAACTAATTTGACCGAACCGCACTACTCCAATCAAAATTAAATTAGTTTAATTATAATATAATAGTAAACTAAATTAATTTAAACATTTTATTAATTAATCAAATTAATTTAATTTTAAAAATGTTCAAATCCAAACTAATGCATATCGTGAACGTCCTTACAAATTTCCGAAGGCACGACACTACTCTCAATGTGTTTGGTGCTACCGATAAGGGCTGTTTGGTGCAACTTGTATGAAGGGTTTTTTAACTTTAAAAGCACAAGCCGCACCAAACATCATAATTTGTGAAAATTGTTGGAGCTTTTCAGAAGCTACTCCATTCCTTTGAAAATCCTAGAAACACCAATTTGATGCTTTTACGGGAGCTTCTTGCTTATGATTTAATGAAATTAATATGGTATTCCTATTTTATCTTAACATTTCCTTCTATTTACAAAAAAAAACCACTATATATAGGGTTCCATTTATAATCCACTTCTTTCTTTCTCAAGCAGCCAAATCTTGCATTTCTTCTCCTTTCCTTCTTGCCCATCTTCTTCCAAAGCAAACTGGAAAATCCCCATTGTCAATCATTGGCCTTTTTTTTCCCTAACTGCTTCAAAGCAGAAAAGCACAACCTAGCCAACAAAAGGCCAAAATCCCATTTCTCCTTCTTCTTCTTCTTCTGTGTGTCTCCTTCCTTTTCTCTGAATTTTTTTCCTTTTTTGGTGTTTTTGCTACTAATTTGGTCGTGATGAGTGATGATTGCTGGTTGGTAATGTGAGTTGGTGAGAGAGTTAATCGAAAATCCCTTCTCGTTCTCCTTCTTCTTCTAGATCTGGGCCACATAATGACCATCGATGACTGCCCAGACCACCGCGATAATCCTTGTCTTCTCCTCAAAAATCCCTAATTATTGTTACTTACTGTGAGATCACAATGAGCTTGAAGATCTCGAGGATCTGTTACTTACCATGAGACCGTGGATCCATTGCTACTGAATCTACAAAGCCACTATTAGTAAGCTCCCATTGCTCCCCTTTCTTTTCTTTTTGATTGAAGATTGTTTGAAGATTTTTTTATTTATTATTACTGTTTCTTCTACTTCCTCATGTCAAAAGAATTTATGTCTTGTAATTTGCCATTTTTTTTTTCACATTTTTCTTCTGTTTTTCGGCATTTTCTTCTGTTTTTAACTTGTTGTTTCTATTTTTGGATAATAAGCTTCATGGGTTTGTGGCAAAGAATTGGTAAATCGTGATGCTTGTGTGATTTGCCTCATGTTTGTAGTAACTTTTTCTTCTCTATTGAAATTATTTTTGTTGTGAAGAAAGCTAAGGAAAGGTGGAGAAGAGTAGAATAGAGTATTGTTTTTTGTTCTTTGCTGAATTAGTTAAATCAATTTTGGTGCTACTGGATTATCTTCTTCTTCTTATTTTCTTTTTTTAAGTAATTTAATTCATATTGATTAGAGGAGAATCTGAACTTTATTTCTTACGCTTGCCTTGATTTCACTTAGAAGAACATAGTGTGGCCGCTTGTTGTGGT